CCCAGCGGCAGAGGCAGCAATAGTACAAAAGTCTGGGTCTAAAGCTAAAACTTAGGATTAGGAGCCTTTCTCCCTCCTCTCCCTCCCGTAGGAGGTCATCCTGGATCCGCCTATGCTTAGAAAGCGAGGGAATTATTGATAATCTTATCAGCTAAGCAGTTACTTTTGGCATATGTTTACCACGCAGGGTAGTTCCAGTTGTCTCCATCTTTCATCGAATGAATACGAAGAGAGTTTTGACGCATTTGGATAGGAACTTACAAAAACTATACGCTTTTTGATTAGCCGTTGTTTTGTTGTAATGCGTTTGGCATCACCAATGCAGTTCCATGATTGTTATAGTTGAAGCTGCAGTCTCTTATAGTCAACTTATTGATGGTAATCCAAGTTCCTTTTCCCCACTTTTTCCGAAAAGTCAGTATGCAGAATAAGAAATCGCATAAGTTTTGATCTGAAAGAAGTTGACAGCTTTCCTGGTGTATCACGTTCCTTTCACTAGTTCTGTCCTTCAGCATATTTCTTTTTTCTTCCATTCTTTTCATAAATTTTTTTACTTTTAGCGGAAAGCCTAAGTGACTGGATATACAACGAACGTTGGCCACTGATACCACTTATCACATCAACAAATATCAAAGAAGTTGGACGAATGCGAATGCTTGTTTTGGCTGTTGTGAATATGATTGATAGGAGAAATGGGACGACACAAATTGGAAAGTTAGTTGTTTGTTCATTCCCTGTTCATTGTTGGCAATGAGAACTATGTCATCTCGTGAATTGTAAATGACGCTCTTCTTTTCCCGCACTTTTCTGCATTGATTTTTGAGCTATCAGTTGTTTTAATTAAAAATTCATTTTACTTCCCGTGGCAATTAAAGGACTTTTTAAACCTATCAGTACTTTATATTACTCCGTTTATCTGTCCTATTTTTCATGCTTTTTTTCCTTCCCGTTCTGATTTTATGCTGCCACGTGGAATGTTTGAAAGTTAGCTGCTTTTTGTTATGCGTTAAAGCTTCGTCACTGTTTCATTGCGGATCAGTTAAGAGAAAAAATACGAATGGACGTATACACACCCGTACACACCCACTTGTGCGTGCGTATTTGTGTGTGTGTGCGGATTTGTATGAGTGTGCGGGCATTTTAAGGTCAGAATTATGTAGGTATTAGCATGCATACGTGCTAATATTTATAAAATTTTGACCTAAAAATGCGCTTGAATGTCTTCTCGTGATTACTGTGCTAGAATCAGTCTCCGTCGTCCGATCCTGACGCAACAATATTTTGTTTTTGAAAGAATGCACTCAGAAAAGTGTTATTACCTACCAACAGGCGTGTTTCCGCTTTTTACGGAGGGTAAAATAGGAGAAAAGAATTTGGCACAGGCTGGCTCTTGATCAAAAAAGAGTATTTAAGATTGTAGTTGGGCAGTTTTTTAAGAGCGATTGTGGATGGAGCAAAAGGAGAGGTGGCTGAGGTTGAAATTGAGGCGTTTTTTCGTATTTGTTGAATTACACGATTAATTTCGAAGTATTTTTTCTTATTTGTTTTTTCTTTTTCAGATTTTTTTCGGTGGTCACAGATGCTGCTCAAACAGTACGCAAAGATACATATTTGTCGTCATATTTTCAGTTTGGCTGGTTAGATGGCAGTGAAATTGCCAATAATATTGCGATGGGAACAGTAAATCAGCCAGGTATGTACTTACTGTTGAAATCCGTTTTACAAAAATCAAAAATATTCATATTTCTAGCAATCATATTACTCCTTAGAAATATGAATCACTGCTATTTTTGGT